TGTCGAGTCTTGCAGCTGAAACGCAGCTCACGTCAGCTGGGTTCCAAGACCACGCTTTCTTCTTAACATCGTGCCCTTCATTTTTGTTTCCAGAGCTGGAATGCTGGGAGTCAGAGTTGATTTAGGAAGCCCTCGTGGGCAAATACAAACACAACTGCTAAGTTGTTGGTTCAAACCAACCAGCAGTCCCTCGGGAGAAAGATTGTCTCTGTAAAGGTCACGGTTCAGGAAAGCCTCCGGGGCTCTTCTCTCTTGTCCTATAGAATCATTATGAGTTAAAATCAACTCGGTAGCTGGCTTCATTATAGATGGTGGCTCTGAAAATTCCAGCATCCGCATAAAAATGAAACGCTATCATCCAACAGAAGACAAACTATTCCGTCTGGTTGAAAACAGCTCTCGAGTGTGATTTTCATTGAGGAGTAGTCTCGACTCGGTCTTTCTTTGGGAATGAATTCAGACTTGAGGAGTGTGTCCGCCAGGATAAGTGCTGTTGCGTTTGCCACTAAGTGCCATTGGGTTCGCTCTGACTCAGGGGGGCCTCGTGTGCGAAGAATGAAGCAATCCACGCTGCACCGCGCTCTCAATGGTCCCCGCTCTCAATGGTCCCCGCTCTCAATGGTCCCCGGGCTTCCGAGCCCTCTTGGCGGACGCTATCAGCCCGTCTCCCTGAGGGTCTTCCTCTTCTTTGACCCTCTTTACCAAGCATGATGTCCTTTTCCAGGGACCAGCAATATTACTCCCTTCAGTCTCTTGAAAATCGATCAACGATTTTTGAGCTGATCTTTCTGTCTGGGATTTAACTGGCCTTCCATCACCCCTCAGAAGCGATTCTTTGGGTTAGATCTTTTTTGAAAGGCACCTCAGTGGTACTAGACACATGTATGACTGAGAGAACTTGTCTGCAGCCATCCACTGATCACAAGAACATATTCAAGCATTTTTTGTTTGGAAAACCCCCATACATATATAAACTAGAATCCTGGAACTAATACTTTTGACCTACCTTGTATTACATCAAGATTAAATCCTGCTGTTCATTTTGAACCATCTGATTAAAAGACCCATGCATTTAAGGACAAAACGATGAGCTCTGAACAAATAACAGCAAGCTTTTGACCCCCAGATTTGTTCAGGAGTCTTAATCTTAGGACCTTCAACCCAAACCAAACCCCACTGTCATTGAGTCCATTCCGACTCATGGTGATGGTATAGGATGGGGTAGAACTGCCCCTGTGGATTTCCAAGGCTGTACATCTTTACAGGAGCAACAAGTCTCATCTTCTCTTGTAGACAAGCCTGTGGATTTTAGCAGCCGACTCTGTAGTTAGCAACCCAGTGTATAACCCACTGTGACTGTAGGGCTCTTCCCAGCACACTGAGAGTCCCCCAGATACCACGTCTCTATCACGTTCCCTAGAGATTTGGATGCTGAACTAGACTTTGGTGAAGTAGCCCAGTCTGGACAGTGAAAGGAAAAGAGGGGGAAGCAAAAGACTAGATGCAGGTGCAGAAAGAAGCCTGCCTCGCTGAGCGTGTTTGGGGAACAGGGCCAGGTGTCACACCACAGAGCTTGCACGTGTGTCCCACAAAGCTCAGGATGAGTCCTCTGTGGTGAGGAGAAGCCCACAGGCCTCCGGAATTGACTATCGTAAATTTTGATGGTAGACTTAAATAAGTCTTATCTTAAAAATGCACTCTGGCTTATATGACAGCAAATGAGAAACATCTAAAACATCAGAGTTTGAAAGTAAACCTAGAAAATAGTGCCTTTCTGAGATGAATCTACTTTCCTTCATCATAAATGAAGGTAGCAAAAGATCCTTAAAACGAGAAAGACTGACATGGATGTCAGAAGGGATGCTCTTAAACATGGAGTAGCTTAAATGCAAGACATAGTGAAGTAAAAGTGTTGAACAAAGATTCAAAGGGGCAACTCAAGACAGTGTGAAATACAATGAAATGTGCAAAGACCCAGAGTTAGAACTCACAAGGAGAAAAACACATTCCAAAATGAAAGAACTTAAGGAAAATATCAAGCCTCAAGTGACAATATTTCAGGCTGCTATGGGCAAATTTTCCAATGCTGTAGAAACCATCAGAAGAAGAAAGGAATACACAGAGTCACTATATCATGAAGAATCGGGTCAGCATGCAACCATTTCAGGCTTTAACATATTATCAAGAGCCAATAGTACTGAAGACAGCAGTCTAAGTTTCACTGTAGATACTAGCAATAAAAACAAGGCCCCGGGAATTAGCCAAGCCCCTGCTGAGATGGTTCAACAAATGGAAACAACACTGGAAATGCTCCCTTGTCTGTGCCAAGAAGTTTGGATGACAGCTGCCTGGCCAACTGGCATTAAACTAGATACATGTGTGTACCCATTTCAAAGAAAGGTGATTCAACACAACGTGGACTCTATCAAACAACATCATTAATATTACACACAAGTAAGACTTTGCTGACAATAACTCAAAAAAAGTTGCAGCAGCACATTGACGGTTGAACTGCAGAAAGTTCCATGGATTCAGAAGGGGACGAGGAATCAGAGAGGTCCTGGTTGGTGTGGGATGGATCTCGGCTGAAAGCAGAAAATACCAGAAAGGAGTTTACCTTGTTTTATTGACTGTGCAAAGGAATTCGGCTGTATGGATATTAACAAATTACGAGTAACATTGCAAAGAATGGGAATTCCAGAACATTTACAACATGAACTATGGTACTGATGAAGTATATTGAATATACCATGAGCTTCCAGAAAAACGAATATGGCTCAGAGGAATTATAGCCTGAATGCTCTTTTTCTCATGTTCTGGGACATATTATCAGGAGGGATCAGGCCCTGGATAAGGGCGTCATGCGTAGAGAGTCAATGAAAGAATAGGAAGATGTCCAGTGGGATGGATTAGCACAATGTCTGCAACAATGGACCCCAAATAGGAAAGATTGTGCAGATGATGCAGGACTTCCCATGTCTTGTCAGTTGTACATGAGTTGCTATGAGTTCAAGCTGATTGTACAACACTCAACAATGGTCATGTTCCTCGCCACGAAGTGTATATGGTCTAGAATTTAACATCTATTATCCAAGCACAAAGAGAACTTAAAGGATTAACATTTGTCTAGGAAATGGAGTGGTATGCCTGACCACTGAGATGTGAAATGAGGGAATTTTCAGCTTATGAGTTATGACAAATGCATCGATCATACCTCTACAGCAGGGAATGGGCCTGGGAAACAATGTAAATCTCATGTTTGATGGGTTTCCATTCTTTCCCTAGCTGCTCATGGAGTTTCTAATAAAGTTGGTAAACTTGAGATATAGAGTATCAGTATTGCAGAGAGAGTATTAGTATTATAGAGTATCAGTAAAGACAGTGATATAGGTTTTTAATCATAATGCTATACTCTAAACATAGGGATCTAGTTCACAAAAGTATATTTTGGATAAAAATATATTTTGGTGATGCGGTTTTGCCTGCCTGCTGCCAATGCTTGTATAGAATGGAACTCTGCTATGAGATACACGATGAGTAATGAAGGCTGAAGAAAAATGGCTATGTTTAAATTATGATGTTGATAAAGAATGCTGACTATATCGTGGACTGCCAGAAGAACAATCGGGGTGCCCCTCAGAAGTGAGATGGAAAGTCTTCACCTCCCACACTTTGCACATGTTATCAGGAGAGACCAGTTCCTAGAAAGGGCATCATGAAAAAGAGGCCCCTCAATGACATGGATGGACACATTGGCTGCAGCAGTGGGCTCAAAATTAACAACAGCTGTGAGTATGGTGCAGGATGGGGCAGTGTTTTGTTCTGTTGTTCATAGGATTCCTTTGTGTTAGAATTGACACAACAGCCACAACCGTATGCCAAGTTGTGCGCCAGATGCTGGATATAGAACCATAAAGAAAATACACAAATTTATCCTTGTAAGTCTTGAAAAGTGCTTTGAAGGAAATAATAAATAGGGCAGAGTTGTAGATTATAATAAGAGAAAGCATGCGTGGGGTGTCTGTGAAAGGCCTCTCTGATAGGCCACATCCAAGGCCAGGGGACCAGAAGCGGCAGCCACAACCTTTCCAGCGATGGGGAACATGTCAATGGACTACTAGACAGGAAGAAGCTTACGCTGCTGGAGGGATTGGAAGG